ATGTGAAACTGGCGCCATTCTCTGGCAAGCCTGCAGAAGGTTCTAAGATTTGGCTTCGGATAGGATGTTATGTTCTTCATGAGCGAAAACCTGTGCTTGGATCCAGTGGTAACACCGCAGGCTACAAGCAGCAAAGTCCCTTCGTCTCCTCCTGATGACGCTCCCCTGCTTAGGTCCCCGCCCGCTCTTGGTTCGAACGTGGCCACACTCGTCAGACGCTCGATGTTGACTCTGCTCGCTTTGTCCGACCGCCCTTGCAGCTTGTGATCGCTTTGTTCGCGCTACCACGATGCGTGACGTCACGCAACTGGCGTAAAGACGGGAAATGATCGCAAAAACTCGCCTTCGGCCTTACTGGAGCTCGTCCGGCGAGTTCTTTGTTCCTTCGGGAGCAATAAAGGCTTGGAAGTCTTGTGTTGTCTGCAGAAAGCAACACGCAGAACTGACCCGCGCACTTTTTCGTCGCTGTGACGTTCGTCATTTGACGGGGCAGAATTTGACCATTTGGTTGCCAGAACGAGATAGTATGGAGAAGTCCCGGTCGGTGGACGTCGAGCGGCAGGAAGGCAGTCAGTCCGCCGCTCTTGCAGTGACTGAAGCCACGCGTCGCTGTGTGGACTCGGGAGCTCCCGAGTTGGGAGATTCTATCTCGTGGGCCACTGTTTTAATGTGTGCAGCGACCGTCGTTCGTCATCGATATTATGTATTCACTTCGACGCTGTATGGCAACCGACGCGGTTGATTAAGTGTCGCTAAATAAACCAATACAAGAGAGAGAATGACGGACGGACGGACGAATTGAGAACCCCCGCATCGTGGGCGCACGAACTGTGTTCTTGTGGCGTGCGGGAGCCACGTTCCGCCCCTTTGTTCCCTCCACCGCGGCGTTTCTACACACGTGCGGTCTGCCTTCTCCACGGCCTGCGTTTCGTTTAAGGGCAGAGCGCGTCCCGGCTTCTGTTGTTTTCCTTTGCCCCCCAGTTGGACGTTTTCTCACTTCCGCTTCGTTACAAGTTTGTTGACTCACTGTTTATTTATAACCCCGGAAGACGAATAAGAATCACCATTTTGATGTGAAACTGGCGCCATTCTCTGGCAAGCCTGCAGAAGGTTCTAAGATTTGGCTTCGGATAGGATGTTATGTTCTTCATGAGCGAAAACCTGTGCTTGGATCCAGTGGTAACACCGCAGGCTACAAGCAGCAAAGTCCCTTCGTCTCCTCCTGATGACGCTCCCCTGCTTAGGTCCCCGCCCGCTCTTGGTTCGAACGTGGCCACACTCGTCAGACGCTCGATGTTGACTCTGCTCGCTTTGTCCGACCGCCCTTGCAGCTTGTGATCGCTTTGTTCGCGCTACCACGATGCGTGACGTCACGCAACTGGCGTAAAGACGGGAAATGATCGCAAAAACTCGCCTTCGGCCTTACTGGAGCTCGTCCGGCGAGTTCTTTGTTCCTTCGGGAGCAATAAAGGCTTGGAAGTCTTGTGTTGTCTGCAGAAAGCAACACGCAGAACTGACCCGCGCACTTTTTCGTCGCTGTGACGTTCGTCATTTGACGGGGCAGAATTTGACCATTTGGTTGCCAGAACGAGATAGTATGGAGAAGTCCCGGTCGGTGGACGTCGAGCGGCAGGAAGGCAGTCAGTCCGCCGCTCTTGCAGTGACTGAAGCCACGCGTCGCTGTGTGGACTCGGGAGCTCCCGAGTTGGGAGATTCTATCTCGTGGGCCACTGTTTTAATGTGTGCAGCGACCGTCGTTCGTCATCGATATTATGTATTCACTTCGACGCTGTATGGCAACCGACGCGGTTGATTAAGTGTCGCTAAATAAACCAATACAAGAGAGAGAATGACGGACGGACGGACGAATTGAGAACCCCCGCATCGTGGGCGCACGAACTGTGTTCTTGTGGCGTGCGGGAGCCACGTTCCGCCCCTTTGTTCCCTCCACCGCGGCGTTTCTACACACGTGCGGTCTGCCTTCTCCACGGCCTGCGTTTCGTTTAAGGGCAGAGCGCGTCCCGGCTTCTGTTGTTTTCCTTTGCCCCCCAGTTGGACGTTTTCTCACTTCCGCTTCGTTACAAGTTTGTTGACTCACTGTTTATTTATAACCCCGTAGTTCTCGTCTGTTGTGTGATCAGAGCCGATTACTGTGACACATTAAGTTAACCGCGAGACAAGATCACTTCGAGACTCCTTCCTCCGGGGTCTCCGTCTTCAGGTGCAAGGGCACGATGTGATGTGTGGTCTGCGTTAACCGTATCCGAAGACACGCAGGCCCATGTGTTTATCCAGGCAGAGACGACGCTGTTCCGCCACACAAATTAAAGTCGGTCACGGAATTATAAAACGCGGGTCGGAAATTCGAACTTTGGACCGTCGATGGCGGCCGTTCAGTCGCCTGTAGAACAATTTGCGTGCGTTCTGCTCGTCGTATTTCTTGTAGCATTAGCCACGCCTGTCAGAGACACAGACACGATTGCGATACTTCGAGGGAGGAAGGAAAGAAGATGATGGACGAGAAGCTGAAGATGTTTGAGGAGGAAAAGCGAAGGAAATGAGGAGCCAAACGTTCGCTCTGATGATGGAGGCATTTAAACGTCTCCCAGGCTACAGCCGCCGCAACCCTTACAGAAGACAGCCTTCTTCAGCGAACCAGTGGTGCGTCTTTTGTGTTGGCACGAGTTGCCGCTTTTCGACGTGGGCCAACCGATGCCCCTTTGGCGTCATCCTTCCTACCCGACGGAGGTAGTCGGCACTGCCACGAGACGTATCTCTGTGACCTTGACACTGACGGTGTCAGTATGTGAGGTCATATCCGACACATCGGACGTGTCGCTTATTTGCGTGAGTGTGATTTATAACGCATCTTCCGCTAAGACGCAGTCGCTCGTGAAACGACAGTGATTTGTCAGCCCAGCGACCGCTCTGCTGACAGTCGACGGTACATTACATCGATTTCTCGGCTTTCCAGTCAATTCACAATTCATCGCTGCCGTTGACGTCACCAGAGCTCCATGTCCAGCGGAGCGTTGCGGCCCGTCACTTCGTCTTCGGGACATCGACGACTCGACGTTGCCTCCCCAGCCCGTTCTCGGTGTTACGATTGAACCTCGCCAAAATTCTGTACGCAGTTCTTGTCTCCCCCCCATCCTAGCTACGTGCCCAGCCCATCATAACCTAACCTAGATTTTGCTGTCGTGACAGAGAGCGCCTGTGAGCACGCAGTGAACTTCTTCAGTAGCTGAGCGACCAAGTTACTAGCTTCTCGAGAAGCACTCTCCTGCGTGCAGTTTGTCCCCTGGCAGGAGTTACGGAATAAACTCTTGAAAACTGGCATTTTTTTTTCCTATTTTCGGTATTTCACGGTAGACACGAAACTTGTAATGGCGACTGGAAACTAGAGTTATCGAAGAGTTTACTTTTGAAAATGGCTGTCGTCTGGGTTCTCACGCCGTGTAGTCTGCTAGAAGCTTGTCAGCGTTTCACAGGTGCTTGCTGCCTCCATCATCAGCTTGATGAAACGTCGGCAAACTTCTAGCAAACTGCACCTTCTGGCTCAGCCGCGAGAACTCATTGGGTTTAATATCACGTGATGAAGTTGACAGGAGTTCAGTTTGTTGGTTCTTGCGAGAAGAAGCTTGCAATGCCACAGACTGTGTTGGTTATCCAAGGAATTGCTGACCGTGCAGCGTGAGGCCTGTACAACAGGCAGGTTAGCACAGCTGTGTGTTGTCTGCAGCGAAGGCCATACATACGCATCTGGAAAAAGAGTCTGGAACAGCCTTGAGGGACAAAGTAGCTTATTGTTTGAAGCAGCAAGTAGGTCGATGTCTCGCCCCCGAGCGCCGCGCCACGGAAACGGAATGAAATTGCCGGCACTCCGCTCATTCCTGACTTTCATGTGATGTGATCGAAGTAGCGTCTGTAAATGACCTGGACCGCGACGTAATCGGAACACTTCTCACGCAGCGTTTCTTCCCAGGAGCTGCACACTTGCCCTGAGCCACTTCTCTCCCCACTCTTGCTGCATTGTTCGGCGGTAACCCAGTGCACTCTGCCGCGCTGCTCACCAGGTCGCGTGCCCCTTTTAGTAATGAATGCAGCAGAACGCGAGACACGCCTCTACGTCGTCGTGGGAATTGTCCGGCGTGCTTCGTGGAAGATGCGAGGCGAGGCGAGGCGGTGCATTTTATAGACCCGGATGAATCCGTCCGCGGAAGATTTCCCGATCGGAAGTTTCTGTGTTGTTGTTCTATGCAGCACCAGGACAGCGCTGAGATGCGCTTCTGCTTTGTGGTTACCGCAGATTCTTATGATCGCATTGAGTCGGCACACCTGGGGGGGGGGATGATCGTGCTGCCCGACCCAGCTAACGGCGACCGGTCAGAGGTCAGGGTCAGGTTCAGAGACACAGCTTCCGCATCTCAGCGCCACTGGACCACATGTGGTGGTGACCTCGCAACTGGAAAGTGTTTCTGTACAGTGCGGGACAGAAGTCTGGACCACGTGCGATGTGGCCTTCTGACTGGTTGTAGGAAGTTGATCAATAAAGTTTTCTTCAGTTCATTAAATTCGTCCTTCAGTCTTGGTGCGATCCGAGGCGTTCCTGTTTTGTAGCAGTGCCAGAAACTGGGTTTGAAGGGGGGGAGGGGGGTCTTTGAGAACAGAGCGCTGATTGATGCCACTGTCCTTATTTCTGAACACATCGACGACACCCTTTTACAACTTTTATACTTCCACGTTGTAGCGAAACAAAGGTCTTTCTCCAGATAACACGCAGTGTCCACTGACCAGTGCCCCGTCTTGTTCCTCAGGGCAGGCCCTTCGCCTGTGCTCCCCCCGTTCCGCCTGCAAGTTTGTCGGCTGCCCGGTTCCTTGCATTTGGCCCGAAGCATTCAGGAAACGAGAGGAGCGATGCCTGTTTCGCGTGGATCCGAAGGGCGACGCCGAGTTGTCGTCATTCGTGAGGAGACTGACTGGAGTTTGTCTTGTTGCAGGTTTCGTGGTGGTGCAGGACGATGGCTCGCTTCGGATGGCCGGCCTGGTCGAGGAGTGGCGCGCCTTGCTGGCTCACTACGCCGGGGTGGTGGCCGTCCTAGCGGTCGGCTCCCTCTTCGCGCTGCTCATGCCCTGCGTCGGCTTCATCTTCTGCTGCTGCAGGTGTTCGGGGCGCTGCGGTGCCCGGTCGCAACCCTTCGAAAAGCGCCGGGACCCGTGCAGGCGGATTGGCTTCGGAATCGTGCTTTCCGCCGTCACCATCGTCATCCTGTAAGTCAGCCCATCAACGTTTTTTGCCTGGAGTCGGTAAATATTTAATGTTTGGATGATCTAGGCTCGGGTGGGAGGACACAATAATTCTTTCTTTTGCTGTACTGGATAGGGTCTCGTGGTGGAATTTGTGTTACACCAGTGAACTGTGGGTTCAGTGAAATGGATTTGCTGTTCCATGCACGTAGTTGGCTGGTCCAGTGCTGCCGTTACAGACAGCGAGTGTTGTCCCCCTGCGCCGTGTAACGTTGCTGTCTTTCGCTTCAGGTTTGGAGTGGTTTGTGCCTTTGTTACCAATGAGTACATGGAAGATGGAACCCAGAAACTACCGTCGAGATTGAGGACATCGATCAATGACACAAAACTGTACCTGTCCAACACAGGAGCGGTAAGTTACTGCGTGTTGGAGGCGCGGGATTCCATGATGAGCAGGTGTTACTGAAGTAATTTTGGACTGGTAGTGGACTGCATTTCATTTTCATTTATTAGGTTTGCTTGTCTCTGTCAGCCTCCGCCCTTCGCATAAACGGGGAGGTACCAGCATGACACCCCTCTTGCAGGTTTCAAACGAAGCAAATTCCATGGTTTTACACCAGGTTCATGTGGTGGAGTGTAACCATTAACGTCCTTCGTAAAGTGAAGTTGCTCTGTACTTGGGGAGCTGACGCTCGTTCTAGTGTTCTAAGAGCCTTCCCGTGGCCCGTATATGAATCGAGTTTACACTCGCTTACACCTCACTCCTATAAGATGCATTTTAATATTATCCATCCATCTGTGCCCAACTTCTCTTCAGGGTGTTCAGCTGAAACGTTCCCCCACTTGAGCTGTTTCTTTTCATTGCCCTGTCAATTAATACCTGGAGGAGCGTGGAAATATTCCGTAGGCACAAACACTCCCCTCAGCTCTCTCTCTCTTTCCGCAGAGACCAGAGACCCTCGGTCTGTTTTTTTCCTTAGGGGGAGAAACATTTAGATTAATGTCATTTTCAAAGGCTGGAGACAGGAAGTCCATCATCCCCCTGAGGTATACACACACATGCACCCTGTTTATTTTAATTGTAGGTGCACTATTTATTTTTCCTGAGTCTGATGGTGACACTCCCCCTACAACCACAGGGCTGAGCCCCACATGTTGGAAATACAGACCTGTCTGTCAGCTCTTGGAATTGATTTTATGTATTCCAGATGGTAAGAGTCCTGTGTGTATAAGAGATTTACAGATTTTGTGCTAAGCTTAAGAAAACACTGCTACAAATTTTACTGCCATCTTGTTTTGAGTTTACATGTACAGTCCAGTACTTTGAAACAAAGGGAAGTTGAGCCAAAAGTGTTCCTGGAGTAGAGGGAGAGAAAACAAAATGATTCTTATGATGTCAGTTTAATCATTAATTTATTGACTTTAGTTATTTAATGATGCAGTATCGACAACTGATGTTAATGGCACCTGGGCACGAGGGTAGTTATGAATGGCGTTCGGGACGGACTCGAAAACAGTTTTTTTCTGGGCGGGCCAAAGCCACTTTTGCCAAAATGGAAGGACTGAGGAAAATCACAAAGTCTGGTCACAACTGCCGAACTAGCATTTGTGAGCTGTGCTTGCTTCGAATATGAATAATTCAGCCTCTTCACGCATTTTTGCAAAGATCATAAACGCTAAGCTTTATTGCCTTAATCAGGCACGTGTCGTATGCCGCATGCAACGTTTATATTGCCGTGGCTTGGTCTCCAGACCTTCGTTTGTTTCAGTGTTGAGTTAAGAAAGGCTGTTTGTTGTGTTCCTGACGCTGCAATATTTTCCTTTTCCAGGAGCTTGACACTTTGCTAATTGGAAACTTTGCTGAGCTGAATAATGTTGTGGACAGCGTCCTGCAAAGTAAGTGTGGCTTTCGCTGCTGTTTTTATCGTGAAATGGGTTGTGTGCTTTTATTCTGGGGTAGGAAGATCAATTTTGATGCATAAGATTTGAAACTTTCATAGCCGCTTCTTGTGTCATAAACCATGTAACTATGGCAGAGACCATCTTTGCCCACATCGCCAGGGGCCAATCAGCTGTGATTGTGAAGGAAATTCACTGTGTGAGATTTGAAGTTTCCACGGCAATGAAAGCTTGGATTGTATTCTTATGACATTGTGCAGTCTTTTAGGCTGAAGATGGAATCACGAGTGTTCCTGAAACATTGGTAAGCACCTGTGAGACAACATCATCAAATGACAATGCTCTCATCTCAGCTCAGCTCACAGAATAGCCAGTCTGTGAGCTGAGACTGAGTGCAGGCGTGCTAACCACTGTATTTATTGTTTTTTACTAGTTCCCTACGATCTGTCAGTGACTGGTATTTCTAAGGTTAGGGACAGTCGTAGTTTACGTTGCCTGCAGTGCGATGTGGAGTGACAGCTCAGTGTACACAGAATTAGTACATGATGTAACAAGAATTGACATCTTTTTGATATACAGTTTTTAGCTGAAATTTTTTATAAGGTGAATGTGTAACAAATGTCTGCGGACTTCAGTGTGACTAGTGAGGTGTGTGGCAGATGCCTCTATCTAACTAACCTATTGGAGTGCATCACAACATTAAATGAGAGTAAGAAAGGACTCGATGTTGCAGAAAGTGGGCCCATAGTGCAGCGTGAGCTGGCAGAGGTGTCGAGGGCCGTCGTCCTCTCTAATCTGACAGAATTGGTGCGCGGATTAGAGGTCATCAAGAATGATCTGCAGGAAATCAACGTCACCACAAAGAGTCTGCAGGACAACTCAAACATCCTGGCTCACAGTCAGTAACTCATTCTATGCTAATTCTGATCTTCAGTGGGGGCTTTTTTTTTTAACAGGAATAGAGCAAACAAGCGGGAGGATTGTATTAAGATGGATCTTAAGGAAACAGAATGGGATAGTGTGTACTGGATTCATCGGACTCGGTATAGAGGGTACCGATGCTCTCTCGTGAAAATGATGAACATGCAATTTCTGTAAAAGATACTAGGGTTCTTGGTTAATAGAGTATCAGCTTCTCAAAGAATAATTCTGCTCCACGGAGTTCCTAAGTTAAGTGGTTGCTTGCTTAGTAAGTTAGTTCATACGTGCTCCTAGGTATTTCCAAACTCGCCTGCACATGTGTATTTGTGAATGAG